AATTTGAAAAAAAAAATTCCCTCGAGGCATTACTGAGATGTCACGTTCAGGAGAATGGGATGGACAGACGGACAACCTGAAAACATAATGCCTCTAGCCCTGACTGTTGCAGACGCATAAAAAACACAAAACAGAAAGAGAGAGAAGGTATTTAGGTGAATTGTTAAAGAATTGTAAAAGTTATTCGATGACATTTTTACCAAATTCTAAGATATTGTCAGTGGTGGTCTATCTTAATCTCACATGTCCATTCAAAGCATTAAAAGAAGTTTTTTTTTGTTTGTTTTTTTTTTGCCGTCATCCTGCCATCGGTACGTGTGGGGTTTTAAGTGCATCCTCCATCTTTGAAGTGTCACATTTAGGTGATAAAGCCTGTATGAGTGCATCATTACTCCCAGAGAGAGGGAGAGAGAAAAAATTCACACATGGATAGAGACCATGTTTGTAATTTTACTGGCTGTTTAAGAGGTGATGGACTGGCTTTTTTCACACCCACAATATATGCAAAGTAAAAGTGCACCCACTTTTAGTTGTAGTTAACAGGAAAAAAAATGTATTGAAAGTTGTGGTTGAAACTTTAGAGACTTTGTGACAAATGATGTCAGCATGAGAAGTGTCGGTTTAAGAGCCAAAACAAGGCCGTATCCTTCCAGCCATCCAATCCTGTTTTAATCACAACACTGGAAGTAATTAGAGAATAAATTACAAGCTCATCTAGATTTACTCTTAATTATCCTTTACAGCACATTAAAGAAATACACTCATTCACTTTCTTGCCAAGAATGAGAAAATCAATATCCCTCTCAAGTCCTTTCAATATTAAGCTTGTTAGCTTAGCTTAGCTTGAAAGAGTATTTTTTTCTGAAGATAACAAATCTAAAACTCCAACTCTACCCTCCACTTAAAACCATACATTACTGTTTTCACTTCCATTTACGTACGGGTTAAAGAAACAACATTTCAAGTATGTATTCTTCAGCTTTGGTATAAGCTTAAAGTTAAACCATGAAAATGGAAACAGTAATGCAAGAGTCAAAGAAAAACAATAAAAGTTGCTCAGGTAAAGAGCTACAAATGGCAGTAGGGAGAAACTGAGGATTAATGAACCATTTTTTATTTTTTTATTATATCTTGAGATGGATGAAATAGTATCTTGATATAATTGATGTGGGAACCAGCAAATGTTAAAACAGAGCGTGAGGGGAAAAGGGCTGCACACAGGGAAGGGATTTATACATTTACATTCACACCAAGTCAGAAACTAATGTGAGGCTTTGGTCTTTTCCCAAATATGCCCTTTTATCAGTGAAAACCTGCTGAAATCCTTTTGAACTGTCAGATTACTAACAAAGTTGCTGTGTTATTCATCTCATTGGAGGGTTTGTATATGGTCTGTACATACAGAATATGTCTTACGATGAGGTAATATCTATCAGTGTGTTACTGGTTACCCAGCAGTAAAAGCCCCATCTTCTTGTGCCCAGCGGTGCTGTCAATAGTCAGATATTAGCACATCTCTCAGTCAGGGGGCAAAAATGAACACTGACTGGCTGGGTCATACAGGCTGGAGCACAAGAGGAGCAGGTAAAACGCGGGAGGTAAAAAGCCCAGAGGTGTTGAAAAGAAGAAATGGATATCCATCAGCACTGATTTGAAAATGACTCTGAGGGGAAGAAAAAAAAAAAAAGGATCTGAAGGAGAGGTTTGGGTCAGGGAACATCACAGAAAACCAAATCCACACCATCCAAACTGGTGCTCATGCTGATCTGAACCACCATGTACCCTGCTGTGATGCGTGTTTAATTTAATAACTCAATATTTGAGTCAAATAAGAAGAAAAAAAAAAAATCTTTTGCAAAGCATGTCAAAAAAAGTTTATATTCATGGATGTCATTAACTCTGGCTTTTGCTCATATTGTAGATTGAGCCTCATTAAACTATAAAAAAAACATTAAACGCAAGTTGATCAAAGTGCAGCACAAAGTTAGTGACTATAAAAACTTCTAATTGATGTACAAGATCAGAATAGTATTACCAAAAGATGAAATATCTAAATAATGTTTAAAACTGACAAAAGTTGAGATATAGTGATGCTCTGTTTTAGAGTCAGCGGCCACAAAGCCGACTTCACCTCCTGAAATTGGCTTTGTGGCCAGTAAGTGAGCACCGGTCTGGAGGTCACAGAGGAATAATAGGTCTGATGTATCAAGATGGCATTCTTCCTTTCCCCCCCCATCAGCTCAATAAATGAAACGTCGCACAATCAAACATTTGATGTCTTCAATACGGTAAATGTTCAAGCTGCATGGTTTTTTTTTTTTTTTTTTTGAGTATCTATTCAGATCTTACACCTCAGGATTATTTGACCCTTGGAAAAGTAAGTAAAATAAGAGAAGGAAAAGGAGAATAGACTGAGCGGATACAAATGAGGCTGGGACACTAAGGGACCCCACAACTCACGAGGCCCATGGTCCGACTCAGGCCGAGTCAAAGATACTGATACCAGGGTTCAGGAGCACCAGGTCAACACAAGCATTAAAGTTCATCAAGAAGAGCAGCGCTGGTCTGAGAAAGGTGGTGCAAAGTTAAATATCAAAAACAGAATAGTTAGTTTAACTCAGCTTGGTAAGAAGGCTGGAAACAGGGGACAGCTACAGCTAGCTCGGCTCTGTCTGAACGTGAAAAACAAACTCATTTAACATATATCTTGTTTGCTTAAACTTTGAAAAAAAGGAAAGTATAAAGTGTCCTATATTGAAGGATCCATTAATGTGTTGTGTACGATTTCATAAGGGGACATTTTCTGATAGGTCAGATAGGCTAGAGGTCGCAGGTGGTCATGCGCAGTGATGTTTCTAAAAGCGACATCACCGACGGGGACGTGGGAAAAATACTACATACATGAAATGTTCTGTAGACATAGACAGCAACGCAACATTAGAGATAATCAGTGTCAAATCACCATTTAAAACAAACTGGTGGTGACAATGTCAGACATTTTATTTTTATGATTTAAAAAGGTAGCCAATGAGTCAGGAAATAAGACCCAGTTTGTTGAGTCAGGACTGAAGTTCTGATAGTGCAGGTATTGAGCAACTTTGAAGGTCCCCGAGAATTTACAGGCAGCAGAGGAGCTGATGTGGTGAGGGCGTTAAACAAGGACACGCGGTTTTGAAAGAAAAGAAAGTGAACGGCAGACATGCATCCAAGACAGAAGGACTCCGAATCAGACATCAGAAGATAGCAAAAACACAACGTTGAGCACCAGTTTTTAAACAAAGGATCACTGAGCTAAAATAGGTCAGGAAGAAAATAAAACCCTGTCAATGAAGTAACATTTACTTTTTTGAGGCCAAAAGTCGAAAACCTTGGTTCCTGGTTGAGAGACAAAAGCTGATTCAATGAATTAAACCATGGCTGTATTACTGAACGGACCCACCGACTACAGACCCCAGAGATGTCAAGGAGCCACTGAGCCACAGCCTCTTTATCAAGTGACTGTTTCTTGTTTGAAAATCATACAGCTCGATTAAGAGACACAAAAAACTAAGAAGAGATGCAAAATGATCCCAAAGAAACACAAAACAACCACAAAAGGGGCCACAGGCACCACAGAGATGCAAAACTACAATAGAAATACATAAAACAACTAGAAAGAGGCTCCAAATGAATTAAAAAGATAAATGCAAAACGACAAAAAAAAAAAAAAGAAAGACAAAACAAGCGTAAAGAGATGCAAAATGATCAGATATGCAAAACTACTACAAAGAAACACAGATAAACACAAATAGCACAGACACACAAACTGAAAAGAGATTAAAACAAGTACAAAAGGACACAAATGAACCAAAAACAAACACAAAATTAATACAAAGAGACAAAAAATTACCACAAAAGATACAAAACAACCAGAAAGATCTTAAACTAACAAAAAGGGACACAAAGAACCACAAGGGTTCAAAACCAGCACAAAAACACACAGCTTTTCAGTCTGTGGCTCCTATATTCGACGGAGGCCCATTTTCTCATAATCATGAACAAAACGAACCAAATGAACAAAACACAAAATTCAGTGATGTTTCTCTTTCTTATCTTATGTTGGTGGAACGTCTCTCTTCCTCCCCCATCAGCCGTCTCTGAGCTCGTTCCAAAACAAAGGTTAGAGGATGACCTGGATTCCTGCTTGTTTTCTCAGACCCGCACAGTAATCTGTGACTGAGTTTACATGCGCAGTTTAAATCTGCTCTTTCATTTGGCTCGTGTAAACACTACATACTGTTTACAGTAACCTGGATAAACTTTGATCCTGGGTTTGAGGCACCTGGAGAACACCCCCTCCCCTCCTCCACCTGAAACATGTTTTTAATGCACCACATGTTCACAGGGTCAACGCTATTATAGATAAAATTGTTCAAGAGCATTGTCTGTAAGGCAGTGCTGTTAAAACCACTGGGAGAGAGTGTGGGAGAAAAGTCCGTTCCTCTTGCTACGAACACAACAGACATGGGGACGATTTTACGGATTAGTCCTGTAAATAACAATGTTGTAATGAAGCTTTTTATGAGGCTCATGAATCAATCAATATTTCTCTGACTTGTTTGCCTTGGGCCTTCTGCAGGGTTTCTCATAATTTTCTCATGTCCACAGGCGGTGATGGTGAAACCACCAGTTTGGTGACTTTAAATGTCCATTTGCATGCCAGTAACACATTTCATCGTCAGTATCTGCCCAAAGGCCTGACTGTATGCAAATACCCTTTTCAATATCAAAATAGTCACAGCAAGAAAAATACAAACTAATGGAAAAAATATATGTATATAAATGAGCTGGTGGCAAAAATGGTCCAGTTTTGGCGTGTGTAGGCCACAAAATAAATTAATTCCATTAAAACAGCATGACTAACATGACATTTAAATAAGTTAAGTTTTTCTCTTACAGAGACGATACTTGACATGGACAGTATTTTTATATTTACATTAACTGAAGTAGGATGTTCTCACCTTTGTGCTGGTCACTGAAGTAACTGAAGTACGTGGGGCAGGTTATTGTTACCACCTCTCCGACACTGGCTGAAGGCCAACAGGCGATGATATCCCACGTGCCTTGGCAACCTGCCACGAAGAGACAATACCATTAACATGGCATCATATTATGACATACGCGCACGCAGACGAGCACTTCGATTGACAAAATGAAATCATGCGTGCTTAACATGACACCCAAACACAATCACTGTGTGTGCTGTGCAGCGACTGCTCAGCACAGTTCAGGACAATCAGTGATTTTAGTGGCTGCTTTTTTTTTTTTTTTTTCTCCTTTAAATTCAGAAAACTATTATTTAATCAAATTTGGTCAAACAGAATTACAGTGTTTTAATGCTGCAGACATTTCAATATTAGGGACGCCAAAAAAAAAAAAAAAAAAAAAATCTCAGGTGATTCAATCTGCTTTAAATCCAAGACATTTAGAGACTCATATCTTCGCTGTCTGGATAGAAAGATGTAGAATGTATTGATTTAAAAAAAAAATAAATAAAAAAAAATCAATACATAATCAGGTAGTTTGTCATTTCTCTAAACCCTGTTCCAAACAATGACAAAAAGGACAAGAGAATGAACTCTCCTTCTCCTTGTATTTCTAAACAGAAACGTTCAGTAACTGTTGTGTATTTCCACCCATTTAACTCCTCAAACTTTTTTGTGCGTAATTACTCTTTAATCTTATTCTGGTTATGCTTTCAGTCATCTCAGTTCTCTTCCATAAACATCTGACTAAAAAGTGAATCCTGCATCACCACCATCACTGGTTGTTTTTTCTCCTCTGACAAAGTGTATACTGAGGCATGAACACACACATGCCATAGATTAGCAGAACATAATTTTTCCAAGAGTTTATTTGGCTGCGGATGGAATAACTGGAATTAAAATACTACAATTGTGCACTCTGTTAGAAATTAAACTCTTTTCTATATTTGAAATGAGAGTCAAAGACTTTCTGTCTGAAAGCGTATTTCAGCAGCGCCATACACAGACCTACGACACCTGAGCAAATGTTCAGAAATGTGTGAAATAACAAAAACGCAAGCAATGGACCATTTCTGAGAAAGAGATTCCAGAAGTTCAGAAACTAATGGTGGCACAGTTAAAAACTTTATACACTATTTCTGTCAGAGTACAGACAGCTTCTTCAAGTCTGTACAACAATCTCTAAAGTTATTTCTGTGTCAGGTGTCAGGACATTTTCATTTTTATGTCTGTTCTGTTGAACTATCTCTATATTTAATATGTTGTATAACCATCGGCTGTGAATGTATGGGTGCTCACGAATGCACACACTGCTAATTCATTTATTAGGGACATGACCTCTGAAAGCAGCTTCCTCTACCTTCCTGCTGAGGAAGCAGATAGGGAAGTAGAGAAATGAGGGTCATTGCAGAGATAAGGAGGAAAGCTGTTTCCACGCAAGCAGTTCATGTATATTCTCTTAATGCACGATGCCGTATGCACGGCTCGTGCAACGATTCTTCACCGCAGTGAGAGCAAATGGAGATAGCACTGACAAAGTTGAAACAGATGAGTTTTTCGCTGTGTTCGTAAGGTCACGGGAAGTAGGTCAAACCAGATTCTTCAGTGGGCCAGAGAACAAACTGAAACCTAAACTTTGTCGTTCGCTTCATATTTATATTCTGTCTCATTCTATTGAGCATATGAGGCGTGTTCATTCAGAGTAGAGTAAGACATTACATTCTGTAAATACATTATATATTTACATACTCATGTCAGACAACGAGGTCATCATTAAGTGTTTTCATGACTGAGTGGCGGTGTTGGGTAAAATCCATGTGACTTCATCCAGTTGTATTCATGATTTTACCTTATAAGATGCACTATATAGTTCCCTCAAACATTCCCACTATGTAAAGAAAAAAAGTAGTGACCATGGCATGTACAATGCTTTCTACATGCTTTACATTTTGTTGATATGATTATTACTGCTGTGCAAAAAAACACCTGTCAGTGATGATGAAAAAAGTTCATGTTAATTGCTTTTGTCACTGCTACATTATTATTATTATTATTATTATTATGTCTTACTTTGCTTTGGGGGATAAACATGCTTTCATACACATTTTGTAACTATAGTTCCCATAATGATTTGGGAGATGTATGCTAAATTAGCTATAAGCAGTTCTGGTTCGCATCGTGCCAATCGATGTACAGACAACTGTCACCGGATGAATTTGATACTGAAGAAAACTTAAAAACATGATGATTCTCAGGCAAGTCCAGGAGGTATACGGAGTACCCCCCCCTCCCCCCATGATTTCTAGGCAGATTCATGGATTTTTATTGACGAAGGGCATGGGAAGTGTGAGTCACACTGAATCTAAAAATATGTGTGTGTCACCTCTGCGTGTTCAGATTTGACAGAGTTATGACTCACAGACGGAGGAAGAAGGAATTTTAATGCAAATTGCAGAAACTGGCTCTATGGACTTTAAAGTACCTTAATTGCCTTTCACCTCAGGCAAGACTCTGTACTTCTTAGTGACCCTATGGGGATGCTGTTTGAAAACTTCTGTGGTAGAGTAAACTATAGAGTGTGGGAATGATTTTGGACACAACAGATGTCCCCCCCCGAATCTGTATGAAATTAAAATACTGAAAAGGTGTCATTTGCCCCAGTCTAAAAGATGCAAGAAATAAGGGTTAAAACTCTCTTCTGGTTTGGAAAAATGTAATATTCACAAAGCTGATCCCCACCCTGTTTCATGGTTAAGATTTTGCTTGATTTACTAATGTGTGTTGAACTGCTCTCTCAAGGTTGTTAGCATCTGACAACTCACACTGACTTGCTGGATCTTTTACCTTGAAGCCAGAAGTTATTGTAAGAGCTGGCTGAGGTTAAAGTCAGGGTAATTCAACTACGTCTCTAGTAAATCTGCAGTCTGTATTTTTCCTTGCCTATTACAGTGCTTTATCGATAAACTCCCACACTGTATTACCTTATACCTCACTATTTATTTACTCATACTGTCATTTCCTCTAAATAGCCTCTTCCCGCCGCACACTCTAAACAGCCAGAGAGAGGAAAATGTTTCAGAGAATGACCTGAGCTGACGTTCCCAGAGGTGCTATTCTCACAGCGCTCTCTCTCCAGCTCGATCTCGTTCACCACGTCGCACATCTGCACCGATAACACCTGTGGAAGAGGCAAAAAAAAAAAAAAAAAAAAAAAAAGCACATTTAGGCATCAAGAATCAAATATGCTTCCATCACATTGCATCTATGGTAAGTGAAAGAATTCATATCCAGTGAGATCAAGGCTGGTAGAGTGGCGACCTGCAAGGGGAAAAAAAAAAAATTGCTAATAAATATTTTAGTTTCCCTTTATCACATTCCTACAACTACGGCTTTTCATGCTGTGTTTTCCTATTAGAACCAACCCCCGGCTAATAATACAGTAAACACACAGAAATGTTCTCCATGTTTGAAATCCAAACAAAGCTCCCTCTTGCCTGGCAAATAGATGCTATCATGCAAATGGATTAGGAAGTGGAGAAGGGAGCCACTGAGTAATCTCCTGCGATTGTTCATCTGTGTCAACAAAGGCTGAAAAATGCGGGCTGACAGCCGCTGGCGGAGAGCCGGTGGGTCAATGAAAATGTGTAAGATGAGCAGCGAGGAGCTTGAGCAGGTCAGTGGAGATGAAGGGAGAGAAAGAGGAGAGAGAGAGAGAGAGAGAGAGAGTGAGAGGGGGAGAAGTCGACATGAGGCAGAGTGTATTCATGAACTCCCAGGGAAGAGCTTCACCCTGCACCCTACTACCAAAGTGACAACACTTACATGACTAAAGGCAAAAAAGGTCACAGAGAGAGAGGAGTAATGCAGCACAAAGACCACTGTCTATTTACAATTGTACAACTCATGTTCTCTAATTGGTCCTTGCAGATGTCTTTACATTCTCCCTTCGTGAGCCCCAACCACCCCGGAGCTGTCAAACAAGAAATGATCCTCATCAATCAGCCACAAATGCCCTGTTTTGTCCGGGGTTGAGCTCACAATAAATCTTTGTTATAAAAGCAGTCTGCAGTGCATCGCTCACCTCAGACATGACAAACCCCCCCCCCCCCCAAACTTCCATTTATGGCAAACGGCTCCTCTCGGCGTGAGACCAACAAGCAATAAGAGAATATGCGCAGTGGTGTAATGACTCAATGTAATGAGGCAGAATACACTCAGAGATAAGCTGTGTTCATTATTTAAAAACAAGCAGTAAGTACATAACAAATAATGCGCTGTATGTGATGTCTAATTGTGCAGGACTATTTGAGAGCACAGTCATATTAACACACATCGTGACATCGGCTAGGAGCAGATGATGTACACACGAGAAGAATTTGCGACTTCATAGAAAGTTTGGAAAACAATCACGGTCCAACATGCAACTTACACAAGTTTGATGTGGAAACTTGAAACCTTAAACATTTTTATTCAAAAATTTCAAATATCAGCAGATTCTGGATTTCATTTCATTTTAAGAATTTCTAAGATAATTGAACATTTTTGTGTAACATTCAAATCCTGCATAGGGGCTTTAAAGACTCTGCTGAAGGTAAAGGTGGCTGATTTCCTAAAATACAGCTATGCTGCTGTAGCTATGTTTAAATCATCAGAGCCAAATGAGCAACTGTTGACCTGTAAAGGCATCACAACAACTCTACCTCAAGCGCAGTGATGTGCACCATGTTCATGCCACAGAGGTTAGCGACCTCTTGGTGGAAAACATTCATGGAAATATGACACAAAAATGCACAGACATACACTGCAAATTACCTCCATGTTATTTATTTCCACTTCTCCACACTGCCATCTCCACACAAACTCATCGCCACACTCACTCCCCTCTCCCCCATGGATGAGGTCGTCCTGACACTATCATAATCCACAGAACATGGCTCACAGGAGTCTTTGCCTGCAACCTATTACAGCAGAAAATCCAACATATCCTGAAGTAATAGCAGCAGCACTGGCCGGGAGGCAAAAGATTAATCTGCTAACATTATCTGTGCACTGCAACATGGATGGAGGAGGAAATCTCATGTTGGTCAGACCCTCTGGTAACCTTATTTTTGACTACCAAGGAATTGATTGTCGGCCAACGTAATAGTGCAGCGTTTAAGAGAGGATTCGAGTCCAAAAGCCCCTCAGAGGGAAAGGTAATATCTTATCATCACAGTGTACTTAAAACAGAACACAATAATAATAATAATAATAATAATAATAATCTGCTACGAGGTGTATCTATGACTTTAACATCAGTATTGTAATCATGATAATAATAATAATAATAATAATAATAATATCAAGCAAGGCTACTTTTACATTATTCAAGTTAAATGTCTGATTATTTAGAGCTACTAAAAATACAACAATAAAACAAACTGTTTTCAAACTGTTTCATGTTCAGTGCATTGAACCTTGTGCCACTATTATACATTACATATTCACATAACTTCTCACACTTGGAAAACAAACACTTCAGTAGCTCATTTTATTACACAATGATAACATAACATCATCCAAGGCTGGATCATTTAACTGGTCATGGGCAATAGGTGTTAAATATGAGGCACTTTGTTGAAGCCTAGTTTTAATACCAACATTATTTTGGTTTTATTATTCTTGCTAATAACATATTTTAAAGAAAGGTGTGTGTTTTGTTGATAGGATGTCCACACAGCAATTTCTTTCCCTTGGGCTCCCCTCACAGCCATAATATCACCACAATATGGTTCTGCCAAAAGATGATAAAATATTAAATTATCCAGCTCTCACTGCATCCTGACGATAGCCGTTTCAATATGAATGCAAACCAGTATGACTCCAATATAATAATGCTCTACAAAAGTAGTAACAAGGTTCAAAACAAATGTATACGTTATGCCGTTTACAGGCCAAAGCAGCATAACTGTGGACTTCTCTGTAATCCCTGCCTTCCCAGAATTAACGAGCTAGCTATAGAGCACCGTGTTATAACAGCAGAACTTAAGCTAAAGCTGCACAAACTGACAACCACAAGATAAGGACTCACAATGCACGACTCAGAGTGATCCAAGGCAGGGTCTTTAACTCAGGCAAGGTCGGTACACGGGTGACCAATCAAAACAGGCAAACAAATCCAACGGGCTACGGCTAAACTGGTCGAAAACATACTAGATAGCGCACGGACACATTGCATGTACGTTTTAATACTACAAACAAAGACGAACTGGCACAGAGAGTACGCAGAGTAAATACACTAGGAGTGGAAGACAACGAGACACAGGTGCAACACATTAGGGGGCGGGGTCAACAATCACGGGAGCGGGAAACACATGATGGCAGGAAGTGGAAATCTAGAATGAGAGGAGAGGTTAGACACACACCAAAATAAAACAGGAAGTGAAAACCAAAAAGGACAAGAAGAAGAAAACATAACACAACACAAACTAATGTTTTCTAATGACTAAGCCAAATGTTAATGGTGCTGCTGTTATGACCCAACCAGTTTCCATTTAACAGTATGGTGCATTCTGGCGTGGGCTTCATCACATATGCATAATTGTACTGTTTTGATTCAGTTTCAGGACTCTCATTAACCCTGTTTCCATCAGCAGGCAGCTATTCTGAGCCAAAACCTCTGATAGACCCACTGGACACCAACTCATCACCCAATGGAGGACAAAGTTAGCTACTAGCTAGTGAGCATGGTGGAGCATTTAACATATTTCCCTCAGGGGTTGGTGGAGATGGAAAAGACAGAGCTAAAAGGAAGCAAATATTAGACTTACATTCATCAGGTGGTCAGAAACACGACTCCAAATAAATGCTAACGTATCTCTGTGTCTACTATTTGTGCTTGCTAACAAGTGGCAAAGAAATCAATTTTTTTCATAGGAGACATTTTGACTTGAAAGGAACAGATGTAAATAATACATTTTATTCCCATTGCTTTGTTTCATTTATCAGCCCTTCAATGATACATAATACATTATTCATTGGTACAGTTGCTCATTAGCTCATTATCTCATTAATATATAACCTGGCTCGTAATCAACAGAGCTCAGTTCAGATTAAATCGAAAAAACATAAAGAGGCCGTAGAGGCTGCAACAGGTTGCCACTGCTCAGCAAAAGTTACATATTCTTGCTTTAAGATGACGTTCTTCTCGTGGAACATTTAAATTTATTCATCTTAAAATTAAAAATGCGCCGACTGTGAATGCAGACTGTTGCAGTTGCTCCTGCTCCTTCTTATTTTTCCAACTCTTTGTCTTTCTTCTTCTGTAATGGTTGTTTACATTTTTACAAGTGACTTGTAACTTGTGACTTGTGACTAAGATGCGCCCTCTCTAAACAGAGAGCCTTTTTTTCTTTTTTGTAGTGGATTTACTTTAATCATTCAGCTGCTTTTCTGAATGCTATCATTCAGCTACTCTCATGTTATGCAGGAACTCTGCGTTTGCATTGCTTACACGGGGGAGCAGCTGATCGTACTGAAGCTGGCAGGCACGGCAACCACGACAACACACATCAGGAGGAGGACACACAGAGCATGCAGAGGTGGAATCAGAGAGCTGGGTCCAGACAGACTGATGGAGAAGAGCATATCCCCCGCTTATCATCATGGGCAATAGGGGATCACTACACAATAAGATGGACAAGCTAGCAGCCCTAGTGAAGAATTTGAGGGGCTCCTGTTAGTGCAGTGTTATGTGTTTTACAGAGTTGTGCCTACAGGAAGATACTCGGGATCCCTTTGCTACAATCGATAGCTTTTCAGACGGTTCAGGCAGAAAGGATGGAAGGTTTCTGCATCCCCGACATTGAGCTGTGGGGCTATATGTCCAAACCACTCACACGCCATCTTGATTGTTGTTCACCCCCTCTGCTAACTACCAGAGGAGACAGGACCCTGGACCTGCTTTCTGCTAATGTTAAAGAGGTGCAGAGATTCTACCTCATTACTTTTTGTACATTTGCATTTGTACATTTTTTCTGTTCATGTATAAATTACTCGTTTTTTTTCTTTTTTTGTAGTTTTCACTTTTATTTACTGATTTAATTCCTTTTTCCTAATTGAGTGTTGTGCAATTGTAACAGACCAATTTCCCTGTAGGGATCAATAAAGTTTTTCTGATTCTGATTCTGATTAAGGAACAGGCTGAGGGGTTTTCTTCAATCTGAAAATAAATCAAGCTAACAACTTAGATTTTCAGTTTAATTTGATATGCATTGCTTTTGTGTTTTCTGGCATTTGGGAAATGCAAATCACTGGTAAACAAAAAAAAAAAACCCAGAATACACAAAGAGGGAGCCAAATGATAACAAAACAATGTTAAGGTTAAGAGTATGTGATTTATGGGGATGGCTGAATTTGGGTTAGATTTCCTAATCTATGAAAATACAAGAGATGGGGGGGGGTCCTGACACTGATTTATGCCTAAACTCAAAATGCTGGAGACAAATGTTAAGTGTTCGCTAGTAAGAGATACAGAAAACATACTTATTATATTGCTGTATTGAGCAATGAACCAGCAATGACAAAATGACAATCCCTATGCAGATGATAAGTGGACCTCTGCCAAGCCTCCGGGACACACACATACACTTAGTGTCTCCATGAGTAAAAAGTTACATAAATACCTGCCAGATTTGATAGTTTGTTAGCACAGAGTTGACCACAAAGGCCGGCAAGCTGTTTTTAGTGATTGTTTTCATATGAAATGGCTGCCGGTCTTGCCTCGTTTGTGTACAAGATAACGATCAAATAAAAAATGAGGCGAGCTGACAGGAAAATGGAAAGGAAAGGAGAAACTTGTGTCTGTGTGTGGCCACACAATGCAGAGTAATGCGTTTATCCCCATCCTACACTTCACTGGAGAGCAACATCTACATCATGCGTGTACATCAGCCGTCACCTCATGTTCCAACGCTTCAGGCTGAATAATCAGTAAAAGCTCAATGTGTGTATTGGACAAGATGTAAAGGTTAACTTCACTTTTTCCAGCCAAACAAACATGAACGCAGGAAGTGTGAAATGTTGAGCAGAACTGTAAATTGATCTGGAAATAATTATCTTCAAATGTCTACAAGAAATACTTTAGGAATGTCCTTATTCATGTTTCACCAAGAGTTAGATAATAACATCAACACCACGGTCAAATCTGTGCATTAACTATGAAGCTAGAGCCAGAAGTTGAATATAATAATTATACATAATTTGAATAATAATATATAATATCATAAAAAACTACAGCTAGCAGCTAGTTAGCTAAGTTAGCATAAAAACTGGATGCAGAGGGAAACAGCTTGCCTGGCTCTGTTGTTTGTTTGATCTTATCACAAACAGAAATGTGAACATGACGAGTCGTAGCTTTACTAAGAAAGCTCAACTAAGAATTTAAATTACATTTCTCAAAAAACATATCTCGAATTGCACAACATGCCAATAGTGTTTCGCTAAATACCGTTATAACCTTAGCTAGGTTAGCATAAACTCCTCTACTATAACTCTGAAACCTATAATTCCTACCAGGCAGGTAAATTTAATATATTGTTTACCCCTCTTAAAGTGTATGTTCTGGCAGTTACAGCATGTGTGCCACATTAACTTCAGTTAATTATTTTAATTGTACAGCGCTACCATTGTTTTCTAGCAACCAATTTACACACAGCCTATCTAAAAAATTTTATTAGCTGAGACAATTTCTTAAGTTTTATTGGCACAACCTGATTCAGTGAACTGCTGCCATTTGAAATGATCTGTAGTAACTAGCTAAGCTAAGATAAACAATCTCCGCCTCCAGCTTCAGATTTAGAGTGGCCTACATATCAGTGTTAATGATCGTCTCATCTAAAATCAGCACAGCGAATAAGTGTAAAAGTTTCTTTCGGTTTCTATCAGTTTAATGTTTGGAAGGAGACAAGGAGAAGTCATGCCCCCCCTCCCACCCTCAATATTCTTTCTCCTCCTTTCCCATCTGCAATATGTTAAACTGATAACAGTGACATTCAACCACTAACATGCACTTTTAACCACTTATGGGATTTTCTGTTCTCCTCTCAACACCACATTTCCTCACTAGATATATTGATGTGATGTCAGGGTGTGTTATTGTAAAGCAGCCACCGCGGACTGTGGAAAAAACACAATTGTAGCACATCAGAAGCACACCGGCAAACCGTTAAATGTTTTCCACACTGGTGCCTATAAGAGCCATTAAAATATGTCAACACATGACGTATCTGGTTGATCTTTTAAAGCCTCGGGGTGGGCCAGACATCTGAGAATTGTCGGAGGTGAGAGGAGGAAGGAATTTTCACATAGTCACTTAGATGTTCACAGTCGTTCTGCTCGGAAAGAGCTTCACTGGTATGCATTAAAGAAAGACATGCTGACTGTCAAATGACTAAAATCCACCCAAGCCACGACCATTATCATAATCTGAAATGTTAAGCTTCTTAGAGTCAAATTAATTTTGATTTTCTCTCATATATTTCCTAAATTGTACCAAAAACAGTCATTCCTGATCACTGGAATTACAGATACCTGACAAGAGATAAGATGCACAAGTAGGCAAAATCCCTGTCAGGAATTGTGTGCAGTGAGAGCAACAGCAGCAAAACACCTCTGACATTTCTTAATAAAGATAAAACATCTCTGAAAAATAAGGCATGAGTGCAGATGACACTTGGGCTTTTTGAGCCTAATGAAAAGACTACACTCCTGAGGCAAATCAGCTTATATCGCTACCAGGTGGATTTTGGTGTACGTCCATGTTTGTTGTTCATTTAATCCCCAAAAGATTTACGTGTAATTGAAAACACATAGTTTACATCATCCAGCACTCTCAGTGGTCATTTCACAATACGCTGCAGCAAAACGCACAGTTACACTGAACGGTGACATATTACCAAGTGGCAATGCTCAAAGGCTTTCAGTCCGGTTAACTAAACCCAGAGAGAGTAACTACTTCCTGCACAGCCATGAATTTAGTCCAGTTCATTTACTGTGCATCACCTATGCGAGACAATCGATCAAAAATAATGGTGAACCCTGCAGTGGATGAGATATCAGTACTTGTAAATATTTTAGAGGCTGGTATACTTAGATGTAGTCACAAGACACTAATTTACAGTACTGTGTGTATTAAGTTTATCTTAGCACTGTCCGTCTATGTCTCACTATCACAATCAGTAATGATATTTATCGGATTGTCATTAAAGTTGATATCTTTACTAGCTGTGGTAATCTTTCACATTATGCAAGTCATCTAAAAAAAGAGCAGGAAATTAAACTCTTTAAAAATAAGGGGGTTGCTGAAGTCAGACACATCTGCTTTTTAACAAAGCAAAAAAAATTAAATAAATAAAAAAATCTGAATTTGAGCACAGCCATATTTGGGATCATTCCTCTGATAAAAATCTGATTTTGTAGGAACACAGTCTCAGTCTAAAGAGATTTATTTGAATTAGTTTGACTTCTTTGTGTCGTTTGTCATGTTTTAGTGTTGGCAGTAAAGAGCAGACTGGTATTGTTGCCAGCTATGGAAGAAACTTCACCTTCACAAGTGCAGACTCTGATGCAGACAAAGGGATGAAATATGTTTCTGAATTCTTAAAGTCAGGCGTCTTAAGATGAGATGTACCTTATGAACTAAGAACATTGTAAAAAAAAGTAAAAAGATATGAAATGTTAAACAGGTGAAAAGTCCAGATGAGTCAAAATTACTATCGGATATAGGCACTGTTTTGTTTTTTTTTAGATCTTATGCAAACCTTTGTCAAAAAGCAGATGATATATCACTATAAATACTAAACCTCTTAACATAGTATCCATTACTGCCAAAAGTAGATAGATAGATAGATAGATAGATAGATAGATAGATAGATAGATAGATAGATAGATAGATAGATAGGGTTTACAACAGCTCATCCTGCTCTCTCTGTGTTAATATCTATTAAACCTTAATTTCATGCAGTTGCTTCGTCGCAAACTGACGATTAAAAACAATAAAACAAAATATATTTTTTCAGTTTGATGATAAAATAATAACAACAATAATTTCATTGTAAAAGGCACTTACTTTTGGCAGATAAAGGTACAGCAGCAGCAGGAAGGACAGCTGTGATGCATCCATCCTGTTTTTACTTTAGGAGTTTTCTTATTTGAAGACTCCTCGATGTTGGCCAAAACTCCTCCGTGAATCTGCTGCGGTCTGTGTGAAGAAAGCGAGGCTGTGCGCGCGCGTGCGTGCGTGTGTGCGTGCGTGCGTGTTCAAATGTGTGAGGTTTAGCGCTGCTGCTGCCTCTGCTGCCGCTGCCTCTCCATCGGACTGCGCTTCATTCTGCGTGCGCTCCTCCAGCAGGAGAGGAGAGCTCCATCTGTTCGACTGTAGCTACCGTACCCGCCCCTTCGCCCATTCACAACTCCACACCGCCTGTCCCAGGAGACTGTGAGTTAAACAAGGCTGCTGGAGACGGACTAATGTGGTTGGAGGAGGATGGTGCAAGTAAAGAGGCCACTAATTAACTGCTGTGCAATCAGCGACTCCTCCTTTGTGACACAGCTTGAAGGGCCTTGAAGTGGTTGTGACACAAGAATCATGTCATTACAGTAATTCTGAATATTCTCATCTTTCCACTATAGTGCCAGGGCCGTATCCAGGAATTACAAATACCAACATCCCCCTCAACCAACAAATAATTATGTTGACAATTATTTATATTTTTCTCATTAGCCTATTAGTGGGCTTTTCTGTTACATTTTCTGCAACTTTTTATTTAAAGTTCTTATCTCAAAGATTTCAATCCTGGTTGATTTGGTCACACCTGTAGTTACTGGTGGAAACAAACAAACAAAAACAAAAAAGCGATTTAATCGTACAGGTTAGAGAATTCAGGAGGCAACAAAACAAACTAAATAATAAAAAATAATAATAAAGATATTCTGGGAACAATTGACCGGTTTCCCATCACTCTGTGAGCAACTGTGATCTGATTTTACGCTGCACACGGCACGGGTCTGTGAACAGCAGGTCACGGTGAAAGGAGTTGGAGGTGAGCAGCCCTGTCACCTGCTGCTCTTCATCTACCAGCTCACTGTGGCCGCTCCTTCTTCCACAGCTCCGGCTGCAATATTTAAAAATGATCCGCAGTCTGAAAATACCAAAAATGAATGAGTGCTTAAAGTGCTAATCTCGCTGACAAACACATTGCATTTCCTGTGAATGCTTCATAATAAAAGTCAACTCATGTTTCGCTTGTTAAATGCTTTTAATGTGAAGCCACAATAGTAGGAAATGTTCTGTTTGCATTGGTAATAACTTAATACACCATTTTCTCCAGGAATGTCTCTACAGACACAGAGTTCCCAATACTGCAAATATATAAATATTGCAATACTATTACAGTGGGCCACTGGCTCAGCCACCATTGTGTTACGTCATTCAGTGATAGATAGTGACTTGACAGACATTTATTTAAATGGAAATCTTTGAGACTGCCACTTTAGGTCGAGAGGAATAAATTGCTGTTTATACACAGAACTAAACTAACAAGCAGCGTGTGGTGTTCGCCAGACATAGCGCTTTCCAGTAGTCCAGAGAATCTTTCTCCTCGTGCTCTCAGAGCCCTTTTAAATGCCGTTTGGAAAAAATCCAAGCAGACTGTATATGCAGTATATTCGAGAGTGGCTTCCATCTAGCCACTCTTCCTGATTGATGGCGTGCCACTGAGATGGTCGTCATTTCTTTTCAGCAGGTCCTCCCAATCTCTTTTAGAATGACCTTAGAATGACCACTTCCCCCGACCACAGCGCTTCATGCCCGGTTACTTAGTTTTGTCAACGGTCAACTTTTGGAAGACTCCTGGTGGTTCCAAACTTCTTCCATTTCACACTTATTAAGGCTGCTCTGCTCCTGGGAGCGCTCGGCTTTAGAAATTGTTTTCTGCCTTTTCTCTGATCTATGCCTTGCCACAATTTTATTGTCTTCAGAGACTCTTGGACTTAATGACTTGAATGGTTTTTCTCCTGACATGCAGAGGGAATTTTGTGACCTTATATACACACACACACACACACACACACAGGTGTGTGCCTTTCTAAACTATGTCCAATCAATCCAGTTTGCCTCAGGTGGACTCCGATAAAGTTCTAGACACATCTCAAGCAAAATTAAACCAAACAGGATACATCTAACCACAATTTGTAGTGCAACAGCAAAGAGCCTGGAAACCTTTGCAAATGAGAGATTTCAGTTCAATTTAAAAGAAATTTCTGTTTCATGTTTTCACTTTGTCGTTAAGATTTATTGAGTGTAGATTGATGGGAAAACATCTGTATCCATTAAATCGTAGTGAATGGGTGTGGTTACTTTCTGAATCAACTGTATGCGTATCAGCAAACAGCAGGAATGTGTACTGAGTGGCCCGCATGCTTGAGCTGTGCACGCGCACAACTTCATGTGCATGTACAATACAGAAAAATATATATAAAAGATGCCACACATAAAAGCATTTCTCAGTACTAGGGGCCAAGAACTCTACAAGGTGCTTTTAACTGTAGAGTATAAACTGCTTTCTGTCACATCAAATGTGAACTAAGTTCCCACAAGGTTAATGAGTGTCACTGCCACTGTGCGCTCTCATAATCACTTACAGTAATTTAGTGCAATATGGGGATATATGCATGCAGAAATCTTGGCTTGTAAAAATCCCCACATCCCCACTTTGGATGAATGAAATGATCATCTGAAGTAAAAAAAAAAAAAAAAAAACATGTAGAACTTCCTGAATAATTCCTGAAGACAACAGTCTGGAAATATGAGGTTGGATTTATGAACCACAATGACACTCAGCCTGCAGCTTTTTACTGTAATGTGGGAATAAAACATCAGAATTTGTGAAGCACGGGAAAGAGACATATAGAGAGGAATCCACTAAACAGCTGCCTGCTTTTCATGATAAAAAGTCCATTACCCAAATTACTCTAGCGCATCCTCTCGCAATTGCTAATGCATAAAGATGAGAAAGGTGTAATCAAAAATAAGATGCTGTGGAAGTCCATATCCAGAAGATAGATCAATTTGTGAGACTTTGATGCAAAGACAAGTGGAGAAAGATGGTGACAGGGGGACAACAAGTTGGATTTTGGGTCACAGGGAGGGATACAAAATGATCCGTTAGCCCTCCTGGTACCTCTACAACCACTCTGTCCCAAAGTACCACACAAATACACTCACCATCCATCCCGGGTTGCTGGCCGCAACATCAAACGTTCATCTCCTCTCTCTTTTCTTCAACCACAATCCCACGGTCAAGCTGTCAAGTCGATCGACCTCCTGCTCACAGCCGACTGGACCTCACAGCACAGCCTCATCTTCAGTCCCTGTGACGGGGCCGAGTTCACCCTGCGAGGCATTTCTCTGCATGAGCCCACCCGTTAATATTGATGTAAAATACGCTTCGCACAAGGCAGCAGAACGCAACAACAACATGAAACCACATGAAGAACACAAGAAAATGTTTCATGTTATTTTTCAACGTGACATCACAGGTTATTTCTGTTGTTGTGGTCTCGCTTCATTAAATGGTCCAAGTCTAATTTGAACATGAATACTATCATAGTGCCTTTTCATTTTAGCATGACACCCATCTGTGTGCAGCAACGCTCCACTGTATACTCTAGTTATAATAAGATTGTAAGGGTCAGAGCATGCTGACAAGCACCAAGTGATAAATATAACAATAAATGTTAAATAATGCAAAAAGTGAAAAACAAAATGTCCTTGTTGTGCAGCCCGCACTTTTAAAAATTTAAGTTTGACAGCATGAACTGACCTACCTCTTTCTTTTTAGATGAATAACAAAGAGCAGCCTTCGTGTTGAAAGAGACAATTTCATAAGTCATCGGATGAAAGGAGATCAATAGTTTCTTTAACCTAGTTGCATCTGAAACAGGTTTGGCCTGTACATCAAGGAGGGTGATGTATTAGACTAGCAGACTATGGAAAATTAAAGGACCCCCCCCCCCCCCCCCAAAAAAAACAAAAAAAAAGGGATTTCTATCCTAGAAAGGTCAAGAGTCTTTTGCTACTGAATTAATCTTGGGCTGCCTGTGTCAGATGTGTCCACACTGAAGAGCTGACGGATGATAACACATAGAAGTACTTAATTATTTACAAGTAGGATAAACTGTTCCTGAAGGCCTCACAGAAAGGAGGAGGTTACACTGTAAGTAAGACATTCCTCTTGCGCTTCAACCATCTCCGTTTCTTTAGCATGATTTCAACATACAAATCATCTTATTTAATGTTTATTTATTTGCATTTAATCTTAATCTTAACCTTAACCTTGCATGATAAACTTGATTCTCTTCCAGTTCTGATGATCATCAGAACTTCTTCTCAAACATTAAATCACCTTCTTTTCATTTGCCTGCCGGTTACTACCTGAGCGAGTCGGCATTGTTAATGTATGGAAGTTGTAGGCGCATCAGCACAATATCATAAACCAAACGTAACATTTAAAATGAATAACGGTGTGTAGGGTTTTGCCCCTCAAAGTGGATCCACATTTCATTTGTCTGTGTGCGTTAAACAATAGCTGAGGACAATTAACAGAATGAAACTAGAGTTGCAGTATATTCATCATCATTATAACCCCCAGCTATTACGACACAATATGTTTCCAGTAATCCTTCCACTGTGGCTGTCATTTATAAAAGCACCAAGCAACATTTCTTTCCTGCTCCCATTTAAAAAAAAAAAAAAAGAAAAGAAAAAAAAGCCTTAACCCAAGGTGAAGGTGAGAGCATTGGTGTAGTGTGTGTCATTGTCATCTTGTGATTCAAACGCCTACAGTATGTTAGCAAGCTGAGCCTGGTCACAGTGAATAGAGCAAGAGGAAATTGGATGTTTGGAGTTTCTAAACCTGTGTTGTTTTTTTTTTTTTCAATGATCACAAAAATATTTTACATTAGAGATATCTCTTTGTAATCTGCAAACAAAAGGGAATTATGAGCATGCTGCTGTTGATTCAGGTCAAGTATGTGATAGTCAATCATGAATCTGAAATGAATGGAATGAATTGAATGGGAGGGTCCGCAGCCAGAGTTTTTCATTAGCTGTTCAGAGACACA